GGCCTCCCTCCCCATTGCTTCACATGCTTTGGCGACCCCGTGTATGGCTACCTTTAGCAACGTTAATGTGCAAATAAACTTCTCCAGTTTTCCACATTTGCTTCAAGTACGGCACACTTCATGCTGTCTCGTATCATCAGTCCATCTACCTTTTGGGTCCAAACTTTTCGATAGGTTCCATTTCACCCCGTTCGGCGAGTACATGGGCCGGCAAATGGCACTGTCATGCAACATGTGAGGAACTTTCCCCAGCAATAGACTCGTATAATAGGAACCAACAAAGAGTATGAGAGTCGACTTTTCAGTTTGAAGGAAAAGTTTCTTCTCTTAATTCTAACCACAGTCACTTTTCTACACTTTAAACCTACTCTTCATCTCTCACATGAAGATAAAAAACTCATCAGCATAACCAGTCGTGTGTCGGAGTGATGCTCAAAATATATACAGAGAGGGGCTGATGGTGGTCATCAAACCTTGATGGCCGAGAACAGATGTTGCTTTTTCTGTTCCGATTACTTTCAGCCATCACTGCTGGTTTCATAGATATGCCAACACATGCAGGCACATACACACACGAACAGAGACAAACTCACATGTTTCCAGGTTGGCATATGACTGGAACTAACTAAATTATTTCATACCTCATCAAGGAGCATCTATTTATGTATGGCATTTAGGGTTGCGCCGATGAGTTTTTTTGACTCATCAGCTTGAATATGTTTGTAAGGATGGTATCATCTGCTCTGATGTGGTCCGTCATACGGCGGACGAAAGCATAGTGTGTTTTACTCAAGTAAAGAGTGATTGTCTCAGAAACCGCGTCAACAAGAATTTTCCAGTAAAGTCAATCGACGGCTGGTCAACTGTCAACCAACTGTTCGTTCGAGATGAAGAGTCTATTCACGTTCTTCGGAAACTATCTTTTCTACATGCAAATGAAATTGTTCCTGCCGCCTCGGCTGCAGTCCTAGAATAGGTCCGTATTTAAATGCATATCATGATTATAAAAAGCAAAAGGTTGTGGCTTCTGTTTGGGTCGCAATTTCCGTGCGCTACATGGAACTGGTTTGACCTCTTTTTCACAACTTGGTCGTGTTGTCATGACAACATATCTGAACGCACCGTGTCCTCTGCTCACTGAGTTATGATACCTTCCAGCGTTGGACGGTGAAATTGGTACATGCTCAGACGTTTCCGCCAGTCTCATCAACGAATCTTACCACTCTCAGCACCAAAGTACAACTCGTCTCTTGACGATGCCAACGAAATTCGAGCATTTGACGAGTTGTGGCTTGGTTCTGAGCATGACAACACTCACTTACGAAACCGACTAAGATGCCGGCGAAGTGGTTAGGAATGGAAACAGTTCACGGGCTGCACTTGAACTTATCATAATCACTGTAGCAGCGAACTTGGGACAAAGTGCGTCCAACTGGGTTACCCTGACAACAGGACAAAGTTGCGAAATTGAGCTTAACCTTGTACTAAATAGGGAAGTTCACAGCCCTGATGATGACCGATTGGGAAGTTGGTGCGCCCTTCTTCATAGGTTGCCCCGAAATCCCGGCCAAGTTGTGGAGACGAGGTCAAATAAATTATCCCTTCGAAATTGAAGATCAGGTTA